ATATTTCAGTTTCTGTCGCGGCTAGTTTTGTTTATTTGTAATATTTTGAAAATGATTTATTAATTATACAATTAAATTAAAAGTTTTGATGCAACCAATGGAAATAAAACACACACACACAAAACAAAACTAATTTCCTTAATTGCTTACCTTGTCGTGAAGGGTCCATACTGTTAGGCATCATAGGTTGTCCTGGAACACCACCAGGGGGCTGTTGGCAGGAAAACTATACTTTGATTATAGTTCTTTTTTACTTTAAGTTCCATTATATTATTCAACTCAAATTAATACTTAATATTATTATTATTCTAAGAACGCATGAGTGAAAGCAAGAAATATGTTATAATATGTTAACCACATTACATCTGCCATATCCAGTGCCCATAACAGGGCTCATCAGACCAGCTTGGATACGACAGACGTAGCAATGGGTTATATATAATTATTTTTCATGAAAACCAACTGTTATGGTGTGAACCAGATTAAGCACGTGAATAGTAATTATTATCAATTTTATTTAAGTCATCTATGCATTAGAATTTCTATGTTAAGAATCAATAACATAACATTATTCATTTTATTTTAACTTCTTGGCATTGATTATCTATTTATAACTAGCTAGAGTACCCGTCCCCTGGACGGAAGTTATGTATTTGTATGTGCCCCCGCATGGACCTAATGAACCTCCATGCCAAATTTGGTGAAGATCCATCCACACTCTGCGAAGTAGTTATATGGACATACAACAGACGCTACTATTATATTTATATAGATTTTTTTTTAACATTAGTATTTTATTTTGCTACCATGTACAAGAACAGCAAACTAGTCTTCTCGTTTGCTTTTCGTCAATGTTCAAGACTATTTAAATTCCACTTAATGTCGTAAATACATAGTAATAGAAACTGATGTGTTCCACTTTCCAGTCAAATCGAGCTAAGAACATTTTTTTAAAGTTCATATCACTAACACAAGTTTTGTTGCAGGTCTTTGAGTGACAACTAAAATACGTTTCTTCCTGCATAAACAATCATATACTCATTTCTTTCTTTCATTTATCCTTCAACTGCGGTTGATATCATATGATGTTAGCATACGCGATTACGGTTGACATCATATGAATCAAGCATTTTGCGTGCAACATTTTGAATGACCCGCCGCAAAAATTCGCGAATCTTTGCACTTGGAGTGGTAGGCAGATTTACACAAAACGCAAACGAAGGGTTAAAAACAAATTCTGGTCTTTACTAGTTCCACGTAATAGTACTACTGATCTTTACCAGTTCCACATAATAGAACTTCTTGGTCTTTACCAGTTCCACGTAATAGTACTTCTGGTCTTTACCAGTTCCACGTAATGTATTATAATATTCTAGTTTATTCGTTATTTTTGAAGTTTTTACATCCATTTAGTTTAACTCTGCTTGACTGGTTATGCAAACAAATACCGCTAGGGGTCTCTAAAGCCGGATGAAAGAACCACAGGGGGTTAGGATATGACCAAGCCTAACTATTTTAGACATATGTGCGTTTTTGTGCATTATATCAAGTAGTATCCAAATGTTCCAAATCATCAAGAGGTGTGAGAGGGGGGAGTCATCCTTCTCCCCAAAACTGTTGCTGCTACACCGTAAACTGCAAGCGAACTTCCTATGTATTAAGTTGGTCACAACACCAGAGAACTGAAATGTTTCCTCGCCAAATTATAATAAAACTTGCAAGGAAGTCTCAGACTACTTGTCTGCAGGTTATTCAACACGTAGAGCGTTTTGAACGAGATCACAGCGTATAAAGGACTAGGTGATGCATTTGAATAATGAGCAAAATGGAACTGTTCCAGAAATTACACTTGTATAGACGAACACAAATGTATTTATTATGTGCGTGTTTTTTTAGATCTCCATAGAAGTGTTAAATGCATTGAAGTAACTTTATTTTTTAGCACAATTTAAATCAAACAACTTAAGACGTTATTATTATTATTATTTACTTTCTAAATTTCGTTGTCTATGAAAGCTAGCTGGGTTTGAGATGTACATCACATACAATAATAAATATTTCCAACAAAGCGCCAAATGTTCGACTCGCTCGTTCAAGACTGCTTTCTAATGAAAACATGTCCATAGCATTTCACGCCTCGCGAGGCAAGTTAATCAAAATAAGGAACGTACAACTTGTACATTTTTTTCCCTCTTCTTGGTATGAAAGTAATCTCAACGTAATGACTTCCTTCTATGTATAAAAATTCTATAATGGGAAAACAGAACCCGTGTTATTAACTGATAGAAACGTTACGCTTGTAAGGTTTGCCTTCTAAGCGTCAGGGTCTCGTTTTACTCAGCAATCAAAAGCATGGAAATAATTACATCGAGAGATATTGAAGAACGGCGCGGTGAATAACTAGAACTGTTAGCGTTAGTATTACCAACCAACTTAATAAAATCTGATTAACTGCAATCACCAGAGAAGGCATAACTATGTAAAATGTACGAGTTCAGTCTCGATTCGTTACTTTTTACCTAATTACTCACTGCTGTTACCATCTACATACATCTGATATGAAAAGAAACAGGATTTTAAATATTGCTAATGTAGTCTCTTTCTCGCGTTTGT